AAACAGAGGAACATATCCCTCCTTTGCCAAATTTTGACCTACTATGCTTTAAGATTTTAGAAGTCCTTGGACAAATAGCACAGGCAAGTGCAAAAACAGAACCTCTTCATTCCATTCCTACCAAGTTTAGTGAACTCTACCTTGGAAATACCGAGAATCCCTGCAACTAAAACTACATTTAAATTGTGTTTAACTGAACGTTTCATTTTTTTAAATTGGCACTTTGTCTTATTTGCAGCAAAGCACCCCTGTCATGCTTATGGTTTAGGAAATTCTAACTCTGAAATAAGCAGGGTTAACAAATTTTGAATGCCTAACTTCTAATTGGCTTCATCTGTGAAGCCAACAAATATTTATTGAGCGCCTATTATGATAAGCTCTTTTTTTGGAAACTGGTCTTGTTTATGTTCTTTTCTCTGCCTTTCAAAATCATCATAGCAAAATTTCAAAACCCTAAAATTCTAAAAACCAACTACCTTGTTTAATTCTCAACTAAAATTTCATCATCATAGGTTTTTAATGATAGGGAATTCTCCTCAGAATTTAGGGAGGACCTGCCTTGTTTTTTATTATAAGCCTGGACTTTCATAAGCGAAGTACTTGCCAACTAGATTATCTGGAATCCCATCCAGTTTTTCTTGGGTTTAAGATGTTGAAAGTTAGCTTACATTAATGGCAAACATGTTACCTGGGAGGAATAACATGTTAAGCCCCATAATTATTACATCTTAGTAGGAATTAGCTACTTAATCCCTGAAAAAAATTCCTGAGAAAATGAAACAGAGGCAAATAATGTTTGATAGGGTGAAGAGGTTCCATACATTTTCTTTTGAGTAGTGCTTCTCAGAAAGATCCAGGTTGGGTGGTGTTCTGTTTTTAAGAGCAAAGCCAAAATTGCATAAAAGAATAAAATACTTTAAAAATCACTAAATTAAGCTATTCACAAATAACCATGCTATATAATAAAAGGCCAATATGCAAATCGACTGCACTGTGGAATGGTCACTATGAAGCACACTGACCACCAGGGGGCAGACGTTCAATGCAGGAGCTGCCCCCTGGTGATCAGTGTGCTCCCACAGGGGGAGCACTGCTCAGCCAGAAGCTGGGCTCACCAGTGGGCTCATGGCTGGCGAGTGCAGCTGCGGTGGTGGGAGCCTCTCCCACCTCCACGGCAGTGCTAAGGACCCCTTGGGGGATGTCCGCTGCTGAGGGGTCCCAGACTGCAAGAGGGTGCAGGCCAGTTTGAGGGACCTCTCTCCCTGGCCGCAGTGCATGAATGCCGTGCACTGGGCCTCTAGTCATTAATATTAGATTAGATATCATTATAGATATCTTTGTATGCACATAGCAGAATGATATAAAATATTTGTATTAGGCAGGGTTCAATCAAAGAATCAGAATTTCTGAGTTATGAAGTAGAGATTTTATTATAGAAATCAGACCTTGCACAGTTGTGGGAGTAAAGGAGAGGAGTGGAAAAATCAAAGAGCAATTGTCAACCAATCTGAAAAGCCAAGCAGGTCCAGTTAAGTGGGAAGCTGTCTTCGTGTAGCTTCCACATCAATGGTCTGGCACCAAGTATCTGCTGGTGAGTTCAGGGTTGCTGTTGATGAGTAGGAAGAACTGGATACAGTTTCAAGGACAAGCTATAAAACCACTCAGAACCTTTGTCTCTATCACTACATCAAGTCACCATGACCTTCAGATAACAGTGCCTTTAGCATCACTTCTGTCTTTCAAATATTGAACAAATTTATAATTTGGACAACTAGAACCCAGAATGTATAGGGAAGGAATTCTGGTAAATGTGTGTCCAGCTTAGCCAATTTGAACAGTATAAACTACCACAAAGTAATTTATAAATTGGAATTATACCATAAATGTGATTTTAGAATGAAGTATTCAATTTTATTTTTCTTAAACAGAAGAAAAAGAAACTGAAGGAATTCAGATAAGTGTTCTTCATTGCACTTTATTACAATATAGCTGATTTTCTAAATGATCATTTTAGATATTAAATACATTTTGAACACTATTAGGGGTTGGAGTTATGATTTTTCATTGAACTATATTAATTACATTTAGGCAAATTTGATTAAATTTGTAGCATGACAAAAAGAGATAATTTATCTTACATTTCCTCCTGTCACATCCCCATTTTGTGCTTTTTAAGTTAAATTTAATTTTTTTTATTTTGTTAAAGCTTATAACAATTTTATTTTGTTCAGTACCATTAATTTTGGCATCCATTAAGTATTATTCTATACTTACATGAATGTAATGCCCATGACCTAGACTCTTGCCATGACCATTCTTCGTTCTAAGTATTCTCTTGTCTGGATTTTTTCAACTAGTTCTTTCATGAAAGGCTTATATTACTGTATATATCTGTCCTATTTGAGTATTAGTGCTTGTTGCCTTTATATTTGTAAAACTTCTTGACTTATCATAATGTTCTTAAAACGTAATTTATTTTTCTAAAACTTATATACATACTGGGGGGGAAGGGGTTCCTCAGCCTGGCCTGAGCCCTCTCACAGTCAGGGAGCCCTCAGGGGATGTCTTACTGATGGCTTAGGCCTGCTCCCTGTAGTCTGGTCTCCCTCTGCGGGAATTGACCTGGCAGCAGATCAGGGGCTGGCGCCCCCCACCATCGCCCCTCTGCTGCTGCTGGTCGCTGCCGCCTCCCCCGCCCCATCGCCGTCCCCTCCCTCTGCCCACTGGCTTGGACCTTGGCTGGGCTGCCGCCAGTTGCTTGCCGGCCCTGCCCCCTGCCGACTGGTTGTTCTGCTGTTCGGTCGATTTGCATATTATGCTTTTATTATATAGGATATGTATAACCAATGGACACAGACAATAGTGTAGTGAAGACCTGGGGTGGGACAGGGGTTGGAAGGAGGAGAGCAAGGGAGGGTGAATTGAGGGACATCTGTAATACTGTCAACAATAAAAAATAAAATAAAAAGTGTATCCATGGCCCCATTTTCTTCTGGCATTAAAGATAGTTGTGGATAAATCTGAGAACAGTATGTGTTCCTCCCTGTAGATGAGGTTCTTTTGCCAGACAGTTGAGAATCCTTTATTTATAGTTAAAGTTAAGTAATTTTACCAGGATTTGAACATTTTGTACTTTCCTAGAACATTTCTTGTACCTTTAATCTAGGTTCATTTTTTTTAAAATTCAGAGAAATTTTCTTAAATTAATAAATAATTATATCTATTCCATTTGTCAAGATTTATGTCATTCATTTTCATAGACTTTATTTTTAGAGAAATTTTAGGTTCAAAACAAAACTAAGCAGAAAGTAGAGATTTCCTGGAGGAAAAAGAAAGAAAAAAATAATAAAAACAAACAAATGAAAAGTAGAGATTTTCCATTACCCTACACACATACATATACATGCACACACACTTTACAATAGATGAGCCAGCATTGACACAGTATTATCACCCTAAATCCAATTTATACTAGACTTCTCTCTTGGTGTTATACATTCTATGGTTTTTGACAACTGTATAATGACATGTAGCCACCATTTTACTCTAATACAGGATAGTTTCACTGCCCTAAAAATTCTCTGTGCTCTATTACCACTGATTTTTTTGTTATTGTTTTCATAGTGTAGACCTTTCTAGAATGTCATAAGGGTGGAACCATATAGTATGCAGCCTTTTCAGGTTGGCTTCTCTCATCTATATAATGAAAGCCTAAGCGACCGTTATGATGGAACTACCAGAACGACCGGTTGCTATGATGCTCACTGACCACCAGGGGGCAGACACTCAATGCAGGAACTGCCCCCTGGTGGTCAGTACGCTCCTGCAGGGGTAGCGCTGGTCAGCCAGATGCCAGGCTCATGGCTGGTGAGCGCAGTGGCAGTGGCAGGAGCCTCTCCCACCTCAGCGGCAGCACTAAGGAGCAGCAAGCCGAGACGTAAGGAGCAGGCCTAAGATGGCAGGCGGACATCCCCCGAGGGCTTCCAGACTGTGAGAGGATGCAGGCCGGGCTGAGGGACCCCCCCACACCCAGTGACAAATTTCGTGTACCGGGCCTGTACTTTAGTAATAAGTTTGTTGTTATATTTTTATGTATTTAAAGTTTTTTTCTATCTTTTTATTCATCTTACCCATGTTTAGACATGTGGTGCAGAATTCTATTTTTTCTTTGCCTGACTGCAATATCTGGGCATCTGTTTGAAGATGATATATTGAGGATATGTGTTATCTTGGAAGATGGGAAAATCCAGGTGGGTGTCTGTATAGTCTGATAGAAAATATGGTCTTTACTTATATTCTCTCTCTCTCTCTCGAGAATTCCTTCACCTTCTTAAGTCAGGCTTCCTTCTCTCCATTTAGGATTATGTCCCATTTACATGGAGTAATACAGTTAGGGTTCAAAATATCTCCCCATTGTGTAAATTCTTTACTTCGTTAGAAAGAAATTTAAATTATATTTTATACTTTCTTCATTTCATTACTAATCCCACATCAGAAGAGGGAAATGATAACAGCATCCAATAAGTTTTCTTCTCTCCTAATTAGGAGTATTTGTGAGAGTTTCCAACACATCCATGTAGCTCAGGAGCGGGTCTCTGGCCTGGAAATTTTCAGTACTTCTCTGATAGATTCTGCCTGTTTCCCTTGGTTATAAGTTTTTAAACCTTAGTGCTTTAAGTCAAGTTCTTTTCTTTATTTGACTGGAACTAATAATTCGTTTCCCTAATGTTTACTATTACTTTAATCTTACTAAATGTTGGAAGGGGAAAGAGTCTATGATTTATTTTCATTCTACTTTGTTAATCAAGTCGACCCCCTCCAGAGTGAATTTAAGTCATTGAGTATTATATGCCAGAGTTGGTTCTTTCTTCTGTTAACTAGCTGTGTTACGTTGGACATCTTACTTAACCTCTCTGGTTTAAGTTTCCTCACCTTTGGATGAGTGATTACTCATCTTACAGACCTATAGACAGAATTCATTGATATAATAACATACAGGGTATGGCAAAATTAAGTTTACAGTTGTGAGTACGTGAAACGCAGATTTTACTTTTGCATTATTATTCATTAATTATTGTATTAGTTTCCATATGAACAGTTATAAATCTACCTTTGTCCCACCCTATATGTAAGCACTTAACAAAATCTCAGTTAGGATTATACTGGAATAGTACAGGTAAGAGGTGATGCTGGTTTTTATGAGATTAGTAGTAGTGGAGAATGACAGAAGTGGGCAGAGTTAAGATAGTTTTTGAGATTGACATGATAGGACTTAGTTCAGGTCATGAAATTTGACAAACTCAGGTCTTAATCCTGTGTCTACCATTTATGATTATGTAAAAATCTATAATAGCTCTGAGTCTCAAATTCATTTTCTGAAAGATGAAAGGTATAATTGTTTTGAAAGTTAAGCAAGAGAATACATATAAAGCTCCCAACACAGTGCCTGACAGAGCATGCATACTCAGTAAATGTTAGCTACTATTAGCAATAATTGCATTAGCATTAATTCTGTAATTGGTTTTAGTACCAATATTTAATTCACAATTGAAAAAAGAAAGGTGATCCTGACTGGCTCAGGCCTTTAGCATTTTGGTCAATAGGAGTGTCATTTACTGAAATTTAGAAAACTGGTAAGGAAATATTTGCGAGGGGAAGCAAATCACAAGTTCATATATATGGCAAGATTTAAAGTCTCCTTGACATCCTGGTCACATTTGGTACACAACCTCCAGTGTCATTTTCCCATTTAAAGTTTGTTGTGCAGAAGTGGAGACAGTATTAATACTGTGTCCAGGAGGACCATGGCTTCTTCATTTTTAACACAATAAACACTATGTTTATTGATACCATTTAAAACATCATTATTCCCTTTGGAAGCTATTTCTTGCAGTATATTGTTACTAGAAGATCTTGCAACCCTAATGAACACTTTATGCTGAAGAAGATGTCAAAGGTCTTGACCATTGTCATGCCTCTAGATGAGCAGAAGAAAATCTGCTTTCCAGGTCAAAGAGCATTATGGCACAAGTTCAGATCAAATATTAAATTTGGTTCCTATGACATCTAGGACTTGAATGCTGGCATATCTAATTTTAAGTAGATAAAAATAATGAACTTTTATTTAAATGAGGTATAAAATGTTCTCTGGGACTCTCCCCAGGGGCTAGTTGTAATGTGCCATGCATAAATAACTTACATGACAGACTTGACCAAGAATAAACTTTAATAAAGGACCATTCATTAACAAATTCATTCATTCAAAAGTTATCTTGAGAACTTAGCATGTGGCAGGCACTATTCCAGGCACTGGGGAAATGCGAATGAACGTAAGTTTTGCTGCTCAGCTTGTATGTCTTCTCTAGCCAGCAGAATCTTGAAGACAATGATCACTGAAGCTATTTGCTTTGAATGTTTACCTTTGACAGCCCCTAGTCATATTCTTTTAATGTGAGACCAAAGCAGAATACTTAAAAATGACTGTCCACAGAATGGAATTAAAATGAGACAGTTCATGAAACAGGTGACTCAAATAAAATAGTATGTGTGGAGATGGGTGTGCATATGTGTATAATATAATAGGGTTATATTAAAATATCTTACAAACTACAGATAGCACATATTTTGGTTCTAATATTCTCTTTAAATCATTCCCATGAAACTCTTTTTATAAAAAATATATTTTATTGATTTTCCAGAGAGAGGAAGGGAGAGGGCCAGAGAGTTAGAAACATCGATGAGAGAGAAACACCGATCAGCTGCCTCCAGCACACCCCCTACTGGGGATGTGCCCGCAACCAAGGTACATGCCCTTGACTGGAATCCAACCTGGGACCCTTCAGTCCCCAGGCCGACGCTCTATCCACTGAGCCAAACCAGTTAGGGCTCCCATGAAACTCTTGGTGAATCCCTTAAAGAAAGAGTTAAAGGAAAATATTTCTTATCTAGTGCTACACAGATTGTCCTTGCCTTTCCAATGTTCACACTGGTGGGCATCAGATTGCCGCTTCCTTTTATCAGGTTTTTATACTCACTGCAAAGGTTCTCAACATTCAAATCCAATTTTTCTCCAACCTTGATCTTTAATACACAGTGTTCAACTGATTTTTCTATAGTTCCAGCAACAGCTGCTCTGAATTTCCAATTCACAGATCCTTCATCCTCTGCTGGATCTTCCATTGTGTCCTTGGCAGAACATCTATTGGTTGTCACCCCAGGAAGGGCTCGTCCCTCTCTCTATTTCCTGTCTGTTGCTTGTTCTCTGTGTGCCAATGCTTTACATGTTCTTACCTGGCTGTAGTAGGTGGTACGGGTTATGGCCTGCCCTCAATTTGACAAAAATAAAACATCCTGCAAGTTGAATAATATATATTTTTAAAAGTCTTCCCTTCCTATTTATTGCTTATTCTTTACACCAAATCTCCCCATTCAGACCACCTCCTGTGGCCAGCAGAAGTCCTTTTTCTCTTGTCCTACTTTTTCACTGAAATATGTTGAGATATATTAACGTGTCTCTGAATATTGTCATACTTTGTAAGTTATTTTTTTGCAGAATCTTTTTTGATCAGCCATGCACTGTCTCTAGAACCTTTTTGCTATTCTTTTCATCTAATACCCAGTTTATTTTTTAACTCCCATAAGTCACTTCTTAATCCCTGTTTATGGTGGCTGGCAGCTTTGCACAGAAATGCGTTATGTAACTCTAAATGAAGAGACTGAAAGAAAATGGCAGGACCTTTTAATACTGCAGCTTTCTCAGCATCTTACATATGTGGGTAATAATTTTGCTTTCACAGAAGGTGCAGCAAGTGCAGGTAATCTAGATTCAAATGTGGTTTTTTTATTTTTAACACTTTTTAGGCCTTTCTAAAGCTTTTGTACAGCAAAAGAAACCATCAACAAAACAACAAGAAAGCCCACTGCATGGGAGAACATATTTGCCAATGTTATCACCGATAAGGGTTTAATCTCCAACATTTATAGGGAACTCATACAACTTAACAAAAGGAAGATAAACAATCCAATCAAAAAATGGGCAAAGGACCTAAATAGATACTTTTCAAAGGAGGAAATTCAGAAAGCCAAGAGACATATGAAAACATGCTCAAAGTCGCTAATCATCCGAGAGATGCAAATCAAAACAACAATGAGGTACCATCTCACACCTGTCAGAATGGCTATCATCAACAAATCAACAAACGACAAGTGCTGGAGAGGATGTGGAGAAAAAGGAACACTTGTGCACTGCTGGTGGGAATGCAGACTGGTGCAGCCACTATGGAAGACAGTATGGAGTTTCCTCAAAAAACAAAACATGGAACTCCCATTTGACCCTGTGATCCCACTTCTAGGAATATATCCCAAGAAACCAAAAACACCAATCAGAAAGGATATATGCACCCCTATGTTCATAGCAGCACAATTCACCATAGCTAAGATTTGGAAACAGCCTAAGTGCCCATCAGTAGATGAATGGATTAGAAAACTGTGGTACATCTACACGATGGAATACTATGCTGCTGTAAAAAAGAAGGAACTCTTACCATTTGCAACAGCATGGATGGAACTGGAGAGCATTATGCTAAGTGAAATAAGCCAGTCAATGAAGGAAAAATACCACATGATCTCACTCATTCATGGATAATAAAGACCATTACAAACTTTTGAACAATAATAGATACAGAGGCAGAGCTGCCTCAAACTGATTGTCAAACTGCAGCGGGAAGGCCAGAGAGGGTTGGGGGGCAGAAGGGAGGGGAGTAAGAGATCAACCGAAGGACTTGTATGCATGCATATAAGCAAAACCAATGGACATAAGACACTGGGGGGTAAGGGAGGGCAGATAAATAAATAAATAAATAAATAAATAAATAAATAAAGGAACTGTTACCTGTTTATCAGTTATATCAGATCAAAATTACGTATATTGAATTGACTTAGAAGTGATTTTGCATGTCAAAAACTATTTTGATAGTAAAGATTATTTGGAAATTATGCTCAATAATTGAAGAAAGAGGTATTCAATTTCAGTAGTTAAATAGCAGAAAATTATTGCAATAAATTTCATTTGCAAAACTTTCTTAATTCATTTCCCTGAATCAGATCTTCAAGATCTCACAAATTTCTCCCTAAAATTCTGCCAGAATTTTATTATAAACTGCAAATCTAAGTAAATTGAATCCTGTTTAAACTCCATCTTCAGGATAAAGTATAAAACCTTTTAATATGGACCACAAAGACTTCCATGATATGACCTCAGCCTGTATCTCCAGTATCAACTCTAGCACACACCTCCACTCAAATTAGAAACTCCAGACATATTATTTTTCCTGCTATTTCCCTTCTTCTTCTTACCCTGTCATCTTGTCTAGCATCTTTCTTCATGAAAAAACTGGAAATTGGTTTGCCATATCTTTTTCTGAGAATAAAGTTGGTGTGGACCCTGGAGGAAAGCTATAGTCTCAGAGGTCCTATGATTTTTCTTTCCTTCAACAAATGTTCAACCTTGAAAGCAAGTCTAATGGTTCATTCCAAAGAATGGATACCATCATTATTTTGGAAAGCTTTGTCTAGAGATTAAAGTCGAGCATGGAGGAGTCCATTTTCTGCTCGTATCAAGTTCATTGACTGCTTGAAGTTCTATCATATCATGCTATGCATGTTTTTAGTGTTTTGAAAATGTGAATTCTAACAAAATTAATATTTTAAAATAGAACCATTATGCACCTAATAACTGCATAATTCTACCTCCAGCTTGAAAATACAGCTAGTCAGTAGAATAACCTGTGTGTCTATATCCAAGTAGTCATAACAATTAAGTAAAGGAATTTCCCTCCCTCTTGACCTGGTTTAGCCAAATATTGCCAGAGTCCAAACACTGAAATCCAAACTTCCTCAACAGTGAGCTATGCCAACTTTACTAATGTATTTCAGTTTTGCTCAGGTAGTATTCCATCTTTGACATTGTATTATATTGTCTTTGAAACTGGAATATCCTTTTCTTACCTCCTCACCACCCCCTCACCCCCATTGAAAAACATCACATTTTCTTCTTTGTGAATCTCTTTGTGGATTCCTATTGCTAATTCTGCACCTGTTCAATGAAAGTTCAAACAAAAATGTGATAGAGGAGCAGAACTGAGATCACAGAGAGAACTTCATCTCTAAGTTACCCCCCCCCCCAGCCTGAGTAATAAAAATAGATATCATTCATCCTGGAACACATCACCTAGGATCAGAAAGAAAGA